CACAGTTCAGGAAGATTGGTTACATGCTATCGTATACTGACAGTCAACCACATATGGTTGATTTACAATACAGAATATAAATAGCTTCATTTCAGTAAGGCTACTTGTGCACTGCCAAAGTGAAAAACTCTGCATCAGATGGATTAATGCAGTGTGTATTTTGCAATATAAATCCAAACAGCCTCAGACAACAATAGCATATAATACAATGCACTTAAAGTAAAAAAAAGAACACTGTTAATTCACTGTGATACTTCAACATACTAAAAAGCACTATCTGTTTTAAGAGCTCAACGATAGATGCTGAGATGCTGTAATCTGTCCCATGCACCATCACGCTGTAGATGCCGCATATTAAATCAAATATCGTTTTTTTGCGGGGGGAACACGATGTTGTGCACCCGCAGTACATTTTCAGATGTTATTTTAGCCCGGCACATAAAGTGAAACGCCTATTTAATAAGATGAAAGTGAGCAAAAAAGAAAGCCAGCAGGCTATTGCAATACATACCGGATGACGCTAGTGATAGATGAAGCCAAGGCGAAAGGATGCTGACGAGCAAAGTGGCCAGAAATATCAAATGCATGATTCATATTTGATAACTGAAATATCTCATTATCAACACAACAACGCAATATATAGCTTGCGGCCCATCGTGGCAGGGGACGTGCCGTGCAGGGGGGCTTCCTTCATGGATCCGGGAGGCACCGGGCTGCTGCTGCAGTAGCGGATGAGGAGGAGGAGGAGGAGGGGGGGGGGGGGGGGGGGGGTGAGAAGGAGGAAGGGAGGGGGAGCAGAAAGAAGGCGGTGGCCAGGCAGCTACTGGAAGTCCACCAACAGACTCCTCCTCGGTGAACACAAACGTCCTTCCTCCCTCCTGCACAGGAGGCTCCTGCAGGTGACCTCGAGGAGACGGCTGTCAGAAAACATCGACCAGAAAACAAAACAGGAAATGACCCTCTCAGCTCCCTTCAGCCATAATCACTCACGAGGGATTTTTATAGGGGTATTAGGAAAAAAACATCTATAAAAATACCATTAAACGAAATGGTATGGGTACATGTTTGTGTTTTTGTTGTAATAAATCATTATAGCCATTTTAATACAAGGATTCTGTTATTTATTTAATGTTTTGGGACATAAATGGTCTGCTTCTCAGAAAGAAAATTATGATAAATTGAGTCAATAACACTTGGTTAAAATATTCAAAAAAACAACAACATATGTATATATAATACATATACACAATATTACCCTTTGTCCTGTCGATTAGAAATATTTCTCCCAGTAGATAATGTTGACTTGTCATTGCAGGAAAAGCAAAGATGTTATTTAGTGGGAATGCTGATACAGCATTCCAACTATAAGTTATTCAAAATCTTGATTCCGCCCGTTATTTTGCCGGTCTTCTTCTCCCACATTCCACATCGCAGAAACTCCGTTCAAAGATCAAAACGTTCAGCTCGGTCGGGAATCGATGGCTATTACTTTTCTCATTCATAACTTTCATAATTCCCGAGATATATCCCATAATTCATCACATTTTTAACCATTGAAGTCAATGGAGAAAATGTTCAGACTTGAACAATCTTCATGCGACTTCAACTGCTAACTGTTACTTCATACTTTCACTCAGAAACCTCATTCCAACTTTAAAATGTTACACATCTTTCTGACATTATTCGTGTAACACAACTTTTAAATCTGATTCTTACTTTTAGAGATATTAAGCATTGTTCAGACCTTGGCACAGAGGCCTTCTTCAGATTTTAACATTAGAGTGCGTGATGTCACAGCTAGAGTGTAGGAAATCTTGAAATTTGCCTTCATATATATTTTTAAAACTGCCATAATTCCCAAACCCTACATTCCTGAGACATACTGTTTCATGACAAACGTAGGAAAACATCTCGTAGCTTGAAAAATGACAACTAATTAAGCAAAAATAATTAAACAAAATGCCTCTTGAGGGCATGAAGTGACAAAAACGTGCAATATGTCTCCATTAAAGCCCATTGTAATTTCAGGCTGATATTTCCTCCCAGCAGCAGCCGCACACCTTTAGTAAATCTGCCAAAAAGGCCACATTATTGACCCGAAAGTACACAAAAAGCACACTTCAGATACTCAAGGTCCTTGAGATGCTTAACGCTTTGAAATTTCACCGATATCTGTTACGGTTCTTCAATAAAACGTTCACATGTAACAGGTTTATCTCTCATTCAGAACAATGCAAATGCTCTCCTCTCACTGATTACTGCACATTGACACGTCGTTAGCTCAAATATAAACACCTGTGTCATGGAACACAATGATGTCATAACTCCAACTGACATGCTCAGAGCAGCAGACTTCAGATAATGGTTAATGGTCCTGCCCTCAACAGCTCTACGTCAATTATGGGGTGTCATCATATGCCGTTCCCATGGAAACGCGAAGATCAAGAGAAGAGAGAGAGGGCGATAGAAGAGTGAGAGGGCGATCAAGAGAAGAGAGAGAGGGCGATCAAGAGGAGAGAGAGAGGGCGATCAAGAGAAGAGAGAGAGGGCGATCAAGAGAAGAGAGAGAGGGTGATAGAAGAGTGAGAGGGTGATCAAGAGAAGAGAGAGAGGGCGATCAAGAGAAGAGAGAGAGGGGCGATAGAAGAGTGAGAGGGTGATCAAGAGAAGAGAGAGAGTGCAATCAAGAGAAGAGAGAGAGGGCGATCAAGAGAAGAGAGAGAGGGTGATAGAAGAGTGAGAGGGTGATCAAGAGAAGAGTCGGTGTCGGTGCTTCCAGAAACATTCACTCCTCCATCAGAAGAAGTGAGGCCTGCTGAGCCAGCTACAGTCAATGGTGCTCAGAGCAGGAACCAGCGCTCAAGAGAAGAGAGAGAGTAATGTAACCTCCTAATGTAATGTATAACTCCTATGAAAATGTTAAAAAAGTGCTCAAACTTCACATGTGTGCTAACAGTCCAGCCGTGAAGACATCTACGGGACAGTTTTGAGATATCTTCAAATGCCGTTGCCATGGCAACACAATGCTCACCATGAAACACGGTTTTCTCATAACTTCAGTGAAAATGCTCCAAACGGCCCAAAACTTCACAGGTTTGGTAACGATGCAGCCATCAACGCATCTAAGCGTATTATGGGATGTCATCAAATGCCGTTGGCATGGCGACAGATCATTCGCCATCAAGTTAGTTCAAAAGTTTGCAGTTTAAATATTCTGCTGCTTTTCCAAGCCTTTTTACTTTCTTTTCTTCTCTCATCACACATTCAAGCCCCCAGTGTTCATGTATCATTTCAATCTAAATTATTCACTTTCTTCTTACACATTACATTTCAGCATAGCAATTCAGCGTCAGCTTTTCAGCATAAAGCATTCCCACTAGCAATTTCTTCAGGAATTGCATTCTCTAGTTACTAATATTATTGACAATAGCTGCAATATAATTCATTGTACAATAATGAATTTGAATATTTAAGTTTTTCCTACTTTAACATCTGGGGAACAGACCTATGGTATATCAGGACAATTGTTTACCTTTTCATATGTATCTTATGGGAGTCCAAGTCATTCTCGTCAGATAGAGTATTAGTGAGACAAATCACAGCTATGTAAAAACAGAACACCTTCTTCATATGCAGTAGAAGTTTATTTTTTATTTTATTAAATTGCAATCAAACAGGTTTTCATTAACTATAAACGAGTAATGGTTAGCTGTTGTACATATAGAATTTAAGTGACACAATCCCCTCAATGCTATAGTATTGATTTTTCAGCACTAAAGAAAAAGACACTAAAGGAAAATGGATAGAGCTTTCCCACAGAAAACAATTGTGGCTGATCAAACCTGGTCAATTGGTAACATTGAACATTTCTTTATCAGTGGTGGACCATAAGAAATGAATTCAAATATACAATACCATTAAAAGTCTCAGTGCAGGCTCTAAATTCCCCCTTTATTCTCTTTCTGAGATGGTACAGACCTACATGGGCTTTGAATTGGAAACACACTGCACACACACTCTTGGAGGATGTGACAGCTCCCCCCTCAGGGCTCACAGAGGGATGAGATGCTCATTTTGGGTCGCTGGATACTGAGACAACTGACAGGGCATTCTGGCCATCTGATGAAACAAAAAAGGAAAAGTTAGCAGCAGATTCCACATGAAAGGCTTAAGTCTTTGTTAGTTCAACCTGATTGAAAATGCAAATGTCATTACAGGTAATCTTTAGGAGACCAGAGTGAAAGTCAGACTGGGGAAAGTGCTGAACGTGCTCTGGGTCCAGCTTGTTATGTATTTAGTCTGTGAAAACAGTTGTATAATGCCTTGTGTGGGGAAGCTTTAGCAAGTCTGAGGGTTATCTTTAGTGCTTCAGGCTTCACATTTTCTACATTTTTAAAGAGCAGGATGTAGTTTAGGAGATGATTGATTTTGAATGTGACTTAAATTATTGTTTTGGACCTTCTTTTAAGGGGTCTTGCAGGTCCTCAAACTGTATGGAAATGCGGTAAATAATTTTAGCCATAAACTGTGATGTACATAATTTAAACATTGCCACAGAAAACTATTTTATGTCTGGGAATAGGGTTGAAATAATTCTAGATTTATCAAGTTTTAACAAACTGTTTACAGTGCAATAAGCCTGCTTTCACATCTAGATTCAAAGCCTCATGATATATTTTTTTCAACCATGAAGCAGGCCTGCCACAGACAGGTTTACTCTCTGTGTTAATGAGCACCAGTCAAAAGTCTGCATAATGAAAACGATAATGCACGGTAAGAGGAAATACAATGCAGATGAAAAATGCATATGACAGCCGAAAATAAACTTTGCCTTAGTTGGCACTACATACAGACTGAAGCAATTTGTGCATTTCAGGAAAAAACAGACACATTTCTGCAGCACTCACAACTTTTCCGTTTGTGCACTGATGGGGGGAAGCGAGGAGGGTTTACTCTGCTGTTATGAAAAGCAGCCGCGGCTCTGCTGAATGAAAGCATTCTTCAGTGCGGGTGACCAATAACTTTTCTTCACTCCGTGGTTGATGTTAGACGCGTCAGCCAGGCGCGCCCTCTGCACATCACAGCTCCTCTGTACACACAGCCTGGGACGGGGTTTGATCTGGATGGACGCACAGAAACATTACACATGCCGCAGAGAGACTTCTGCAGCCGAATCGGGACGTTAGGGACCAGGCCCGGCATCACCGAGCTAAAAGGCTAAAAGTTAGCTGTCACGTTCATCCAGCCGGGAGCTGTCGCTGTTTTTCAGCCAAATACTAATACAAGGGAGAGCTGCACTTTTAGGTAAGCCATGCTCTGTCTTTCAATCGGAACTGGAAAGCTGTTTATCCCATTAGTATGCGAATAGTGTGTAGTAGCCTATGTGGCACTAAGTCTACTATGAGCTACTATTTCCTACTCAACAGGCTATAGTTATTTAAATAATAAGTGTTGATTGCAGTGTTTTGGCATACATTTTCCATCTGGTCTGATGGCTTTTCAACACATGTTCATGTCAAAGTCTGATCTGTCTATTTGAGCTTTACTTTTTTCTGTGAAGAGTGTTCTTATTCTTCTGGTAGTTACTCTTTTTCATGATGCTGTTTCCTAAAGACAGTTTAATAATATACTATATATCACTTAATGTGTGTTATGCAATGAAGACTAGAAAAAACAGATTATAACACTTATGTGACATAAACATCATTGGTAAAAAAAAAAAAATATGGCTATAATAAAAGGTGTTGTGTTGGCTTTATTCTGGCCTTAGTGATGATTATACAAGTGTTTGTCATATGTGGAAAACATCTAGGAATGTTATAACCTTGGAAAAGTTGAACAATGAAATTAAAACGGTGCAATGTGTAACAATTTAGTATTTGGCAGATGTTTCAGAGCAAACACTATGAATCATGCAGTTTGACGCCTCTTTTTATCTCATCTGTTGGGCATTTAACTGCCCACATTGATGATCCAAATGGTTGTTGACATTATGTTCCAGGGTTACTCTGAACACGCCCTATCTGACTTCAACACAGGAACTGATTTATCAGAGACAGGACAGACAACAGGATCCTTCTGGGGAACAGCCCGGCATAATCACACAGAGTGTGTGAGGTGAGAACACAGGAAGATTATAATGCATGGGGATGTTTTGAATTACTGTGTTTACAGATCATCTTTAAGGAACATCTAATCTTGAGCTTTTCCTTCCCGTAGATAGCTTCACCAGAGGTTACATCAACAATGGCCGAATTGGACGAGGACTATGGAAACTACACCTACGAATACTACATGGAGTACGGTGACTTGGAGGAACTTAAAGTAAACCACAGACAGAAGGAAACTATGCACATAATCTCAGTGGTCATCTACATTATTTCCTTTGTGCTCGGGCTGATTGGAAATGGAACTGTTATTTGGGTGGTAGCGTTTAAAAGCAAAAAGACAGTCAACAGTGTTTGGTTGCTCAATCTGGCATTGGCAGACTTTGTATTTGTGCTTTTCCTCCCTTTCTACATTGATTACATACTGCGAGACTTCCACTGGGACTTTGGTTTGGTCATGTGTAAGCTTAACTCATTTGTGTCCGTTATGAATATGTATGCCAGTGTGCTGTTTCTGACAGTGCTCAGTATAGACAGATATGTTTCTCTTGTCCACCTGAACTGGTCTCAGAAGTATCGCACTATAAAGAGAGCCTGGGTTGTATGCGGTTGCATATGGCTGCTGGCTGCTACCATAAGCTCTCCTGCGCTGATTTTCCGTGACACAGTGCGCCTACATGACAAGGTTGTGTGTTTCAACAACTTCCACACACAGGACGGACATACTGCAGTCATGAGGCACGTTATGATAGTGGTCATTCGAACTGCTGTGGGCTTCATTTTGCCTTTTACTGCCATATGTGTGACGAGCCTTCTTCTGACAATCAAGGTGAATCGATCTGGTGGCTCGGTTCGGGTGTCAAGCTTCTCTAAAACAATCTCTGCAGTGATTCTGGCTTTCTTTTTATGCTGGGCACCTTTTCATACTTTTAGCTTGATGGAGTTATCCGTACATTCCTCATTATACCTTCACAACATACTGAGAGCTGGCTTTCCTCTCGCCACCAGTTTAGGCTTTTTTAACAGCTGCATTAACCCCCTCCTGTATATGCTCCTAGGCAAAAAGGTGCGTCGTATCCTGAAGCATGCATGCCTGGACATTACTAAGAGTTCACTGAGAGAGCTCAGCCAGTCCATCTCTGCCACTGAGATGGAGTCTGTGCCAGGGGTTCAGCAGGACAGTGTCCCAGAGGAGCCTGTGGAGTCATCCGCTCTATGATTACAGCCATCCTCAAACTGTAGAGGTGGTGTATGAAAAACATCAAAGTAAGACCGGCTATAAAATTATCATAGCTGTCCCTTCCAGCTGTATGCTAAAGACTGTCTTTGCTTGTTTCACTTCACTTATGGATAATTACTCTCAATGGAAAAGCTGAGTCGAACTATGTATAACATGCACATTGAGTTATTCCTAAATATAATCGAAATATATTTATATTTCATTTGCATAACGCAAAATGATTTGCGAAAATCACAGCTGCAAATATTTTGGTAAATCCTTTTATTATTATTGTTTTTTAATAAATTGTATCATTTTATTGTTCCAGTTTCTCATATGTAAGCATTTGATACTTGATAGTATTTGTCTTATAAACAGAAACATTTTGCATTGGACAAAACAAGCATTTTAAAGATTTGACAATTTTCATAATCTTCTCTATTTATCCATAATGTAAGTAATCATCTGTTGCAGTCTTTTATCAAATGTATCTTATGTTTACTATTTACAGAATTGTTTTCACTCTTGAGGAACGACATCTTTGTTTCTTAGAGATGAGATATGTTGCATAGATCTATTGATAGTCTAACATTATAATGTTTTTATATTGATTTACTGACGGCTAGTTACCTATTAATGTGTTTTAAGATATTTAAACTAGTTGAGATTTGTATAGAAACTTTATTCTAATATATTTCAAATAAACAACATATGTTGTAATACATTTCTTATTCTGAACACCTGCTGCACTTTGAATACTTTCTGTATATTGTTTGTCTTGATGTTAAAAGAGTCTGCTGCGAGAAAGCAGACTTTGATGTTAAACACAGACCAGATTTCTAGGTGGATTCTAAGAAAAAGAATACACAAGCCTGTCGTAAACCCAGATGTGCATTTCCTTCCATTTCCTGAGGGTCTGTTTACCAGACGTATCCTGTTATTTCTTTTTAGTGAACTCTGACTTGGAGGGATTACATCACTGTTAGGATAACAAATAGATAGTCAACAATGCTGCTTTGCTGCCTAAAAACAACAACAAATAATTAACATCATGCCTTTAACAGAAGGTTGGTGGTTTTATTTCCTGTTATAGATGTAAAAAAACATGGACCGATGGCATTCTTCAACAACTACAACAGGGGTGTCAAACTCAAGGCCCGGGGGCCAAATCCGGCCCGTGACTTCATTCTCTGGGGCCCCACAAGAGCTTACAAAGAATATTATATGTTTATTATACGGTTACATGATGATTTACAGAAGCACGTTGCCCATAAACTACATGTCCCACAATGCATCTCAAATTAGACTTTTTTCTTCTAAATATGCCTTTTTTCTTAGAATGTGCCCTTTTCTGAGAATTTGACTCTTTTTTTTAAATGTTACTTTTTTTTCAAAATGTCACTTCCTTTTTTCAAAATGTCACTTTTTTGAAATGTCACTTCTTTTTTTTTATTTAGACTTTTATTCCAGAATTTGGCTTTTCTTTTTAAATCATTTTGTGACATTCTCACTGAAGAGACTTGCAATTATTTGCCCCAGACTTCGGCTTTCAGACGTAGTCAATTATGAAGTTATTACCTGATAATAATCCAATGCAGAGGCAATAATGTAATATATAATACATTATTTTATATATATATTTATATATGTATTTTGATATAGTCTTAAAGTTATAACCAACCCTTTGAGTGCAGCCATAATGCTGATGTGGCCCACGATTAAATTGAGTTTGACAACCCTGAACTACAATCATCATGCCCTCATGGCACTATACGAACAACTCAAGTGGACCTTTGAACCTCAATTTTATGAATTAAGTGATATTTAATGGGGCTCATTAATGGCTGAAAAGGCGAATTACACTAGATCAAATCTGAATACGAGGGCAAGCCCTGCTGTTACTTCCACTTCACCACAGATTGTAACAAATGGGTGTAGATGAGGGAGAGTGTCTGTTAAAGAGCAGAGGTGGGAGAAGTAGCCTACTCATATAGGCTATTATACTTCAGTAAAAGTATCAATACCACAGGGAAGGAATACTCTGTGACATGTAAAAATCCTGCATTGCAAATGTTACTCAAGTAAAAGTACAAAAGTATTAGCATCAAATTATATTTAAAGCACCAAAAGTAAAAGTACTCATTATGCAGAATGGCCCATTTTCGAACAATATATATTATATGATTTGATTATAATTATTGATGCATTAATATGTTTATGACAGCTGGTAAAGGTGGATCTAATTTGAATTCCTTTGGGTAGCTTCTGAATTTACGGGTGTAACTAAAATAATATTTAGGTGTGGATTATATTTAACATCGTTATTTCAACTCTGCAAAGTAATTTAATATATTAAATAAATGCAGTGGAGTAAAAGTACACAATTAACCTTTGAATTGTAGTGGAGTAGAAGTCAAAAGTAGCAACACATTTAAGAACTCAAATCAAGTAGGCCTACAAATCCCTCAAATTTGTACTAAAGTACAGTAGCCTACTTGAGTAAATCAATTGAGTTAATTTACACCACTGCACTTCACCACAGATTGTCACAAATGGGTGTAGATGAGGGGAGTGTCTGTTAAAAATAGTATTTACATTACCATCATGGCACATGTTGGATACCCCTATAATTGCCTTAGTCATTATTTACACAAAAATACTTTTTGATTATGTTACACGGGATTACTTAATCCGTGACGCAGCAGAATAACAAAACAGTGCTCCATCCGAGTCGCAGGCAGTTTTATGACACACACTGGCAAGGTAAGCAACTGGTCACGGTGGTGTTTAGGGCATATTATTATTACATTTGTAAATGATGTATAGTCCGGACACAAGAACTGAATGAAGGTTAGAGTCGAGAGTTTAAAAACGAATAAAGTTTAGTCGATTTGAATTAGGTTGATTTTGCATGTTAGCAGCAAGGGTTACACAGGAGTTTGACGTTAACGTCACAAACGTTTACATACTTTTTAACGAGGTGGCATTATTTACCATTAACATCCCACATGTTTAATGCATCAATGTTAGAAAATGGTTTTAGGACGCAAGCTAACAAGGTAAACTAATGCTAAATTATATCCATTGTTTGCTAACGTAAACATCATTTGGCCAGGAACGTAAACGTTACAGTGGTGTTTCGTTACATTTGGAAGGTAGTTATTAACATATTAAGAGCCTTAAAAAGTGCACGTCACAGCATAAACATAGCTGCTCTCTAGTGCTGAAAGCCCTGCACGTTATATGTCAGCTAATGTTTGTAAACGTAACGTCTGTTTTTCTTTTGCTAACGTCATTTACATGGAGCTTTTACGTTTCTCCAGGGTTAAAAAAAACACACAAACTTCGAATAAAGCCTTGGCACTTAACAATGTGACAACCAGGAGAGTTAAAGTTTACACGTGATGTTGCCTCTCTTGTTTGCCTGTTGTGAGCCGGAGTCTCTTTCCAGCGACACTTATCAAAGGAGGTGCGGCTGCAACAAACAATGGTACGTTAACAATATGTTGCTTCATCAATTGATTAGCTTAATCATCATGCTGTCATGCTTGTCTTGTATTTCTGCAGAACACCCATGTTGTGTGTTGTGTGAAAGCACTAGAACCTTTTTGATTTTGATCACTGATGGATTACAGGCAGGATTACAGATTTGCCAGTCACTATATCTGGTGCCAGGCTTTTGCTGGCTCAATTTAGACAACAGTTGTCAGTGGCTATCATTTGCTATTGCTTTGGAATACCAGGGACTCAGGCTGTCTGAGGGGAAAAGGCGAACAATAATATTAATGGCCCCAGCTGCATAACATGGAGCACCAGCCACAGAAAGTGTTCTAGCATAGGCCACCCTGTGGCCTATGGTTGAAGAATGTTTTCTTACATTTTGAGCATTACTGTACATTTAACGACATCCATTAGTAAATACTCCTCTTGTTTTCTTACTGTCAGTGCACCCTAGAGGGCACTAACTCACATGTTCTACAGGGATGGCACTTTACCATATTTTATATATCATACTGGCATCCAAAATTGCACCAGTGCCAGGGATTAATTCTAGTAAAGGCGATATAAATGATAATGCAATCGTTTAATTGAACATTGACTAACAGTCCTTTGATGAAAAGAAAAGGAAATATTTGCAGATAAATGTTTTCTGTTTGTGCTTGAAGCTCGCCCCGCAGCAACAGCCACAGCTGCCGCCAGTAACCTCCTTGAGGCTTTTGTGGATGGGAACCCTATCATGGTGGAGCCAGGAACCACTGTCTTGCAGGTTTCGTGCTAAATTCATGCATTTAATCACATAATATTGAAAGCTGTGGAGTCTTAATATCAAATGTAACACTGTGACTCAATTTTGTCACAGGCATGCGAGAAGGTAGGAATGCAGATTCCTCGCTTCTGCTACCATGAGCGCCTGTCAGTGGCTGGAAACTGTCGGATGTGTCTTGTGGAGATAGAAAAAGTTCCTAAGGTATGTCATGTCTGTATATGATTTACAACATGTATGTTTTGTTTCCATTCTGGTAGCCAAACTGATCATGCTGTATTCTTCCCCTTTTATGATGCATGAAATTACATGAAATGTTGTTCATTTGCTTTGTAGCCAGTGGCAGCTTGTGCTATGCCAGTCATGAAGGGCTGGAACATTTTAACCAACTCTGACAAGACAAGAAAGGCCAGGTAGGATGAAACTCAAAAGTAAATACATTATATTTGCTGTTGTTCTGGTATTGTAATAAATACATCTCTGTAATTATACTTAGTTGTCTTTTGGCACATTTTTGTGGTATTATGATAACTCACATCTCTCCAAAGCTAAAAAAAACAGTTCACACTTTTTTGTAGAAAAGCAAATATATATATTCAAATGGTATGTTTAATTTTAAACAGAGAGGGTGTAATGGAGTTCACTAGATTGTCCAATTTGTGATCAGGGGGGAGAATGTGATCTACAGGTAAAGATAATCACCACCAGATGTGAATTTCTAGACCTGAGTAGTGCATGACAAAACGTTTTTTTCTTTGGAATATATACATTTAATACAAGATTGAATGATACAACCAATAACCATTTTGTTTGAAGGACCAGTCAATGCAGTTTGGCAGTGACAGGAGCCGCTTCACAGAGAGCAAAAGAGCAGTGGAAGACAAAAACATTGGCCCTCTCATCAAAACCATTATGACTCGCTGCATCCAGTGCACTCGCTGCGTGCGGTGAGACACACATCAACATCAAGAGTGGGTTGAGTTGCTCTGATTGTCTAGACTATGTAAATATCTCATTATTTTTGCTCCTACAGCTTTGCCAGTGAGATTGCAGGTGTGGAGGACCTGGGTACAACTGGCAGAGGCAATGACCTGCAGATCGGGACCTACGTGGAGAAGATGTTCATGTCGGAGTTATCTGGGAATGTTATTGATATATGCCCAGTGGGAGCCCTGACATCTAAACCATACGCATTCACTGCTCGTCCTTGGGAAACCAGGTTGGTGTTCAACATTGTGATTACAAATGTAGGGTCAAAGGTTAGTTTTACCACTCATGATGTTTCTCTGCAGGAAGACTGAATCCATCGATGTTCTGGATGCTGTGGGTAGTAACATTGTGGTATATGAGGTGATGAGAATCCTGCCTCGCCTCAATGAGGATGTTAATGAGGAGTGGATCTCAGACAAAACCAGGTTCCTTTCTTATCACACAAGTTGACTTCACAGACATAGATTTTTGTATGCCGTTTGCATCAAAGCTAAAATCTTCCTTGCTTCTATTCTGACAGGTTTGCATACGATGGACTCAAAAGGCAGAGGCTTACTCAGCCAATGGTAAAAGACGAGTCTG